AAAAAAGATGAAATCTTGCCATTTGTGACAACAATGATGGGTCTTGAGGGTATTATGTTAAGTGGAAAACCAGGAAAGACAAATATCCTATGATTTCATTCATTTGTGGAAAATTTTAAAAAAGTTATTTCACTGTAACAGCAAAATAGTGGTTACAGGAAGGGAAGAGGGACTAAGGGTGTGACAGAGGGTGAAGACTAGACCTTTGATGGTGGTGATCATACTGCAGTGTGTATGTTAAATTAGATGTTAAATTATAATGCTATATATACCTGAAACTATATAATGTTACAAACCAACATTCAATAATTTTTCAAAGATAGTAGTCCCTGAAAATTATAATAGAAACAAAGTTTTTTCTGAATTTACTTATTCCTCTTGTTAGGCAGGACATTCTCTAACTAGATTCTTAAACAGCCATGATTTAAGAAAAATAAAAAACATTAACTGAATAGAACAAAAGAACTGTTTTCTTCCCAATATAGCCCTGACATGTGAGTGACTACCATGTTTTCCATACAGGGTACAAGGGTACCATAATGGTTCCAGAATGTATATCAGAAGCAGAACAGCTGTGATATCGCTGACCTCCTGAAAACAAAGGGACACAGTTGTCCTTTAAGAATTACAAGTAGAATAAATAGGTCTCCCAATATATTGGTTAATGGGACAATCTGATCTTTTCTTCCTCTGGGTGAACCTATATAACAAAGCAGAATTATTTTTGAAATGTGATTTACTATATGGCTATAAATAAGATGAGAATAACAAAAGCATGGATGATAAGGCCGGAAAAGTGTCCGGGGGTCATCAAGTCCAGGGTTCTGCTCAGCACAGAACTTTCTGTCATTGTGTATCTTTATCTTATCTCTTTGCAAAGAAAAGCATTCAGTTGTAAATGTCCTTGTTTTAGTAGCAACATTTCATGCAGATAAATGCAAATATAAATATCATAAAGCATATTTTTTTAAAAATGTGTGCTCAAACCCATGAATCAGAGAAAACTATAAAGCCACATTCTTATCATAACATTAAAGGCTATCTATCACACATCATCTAGGAATTGCTACTTCTAGTAGCCTGGAGTTGTTTTTGATGAAGCTCACTTACCACAGAGTTCTGTATAGTTTGAGACTATGGGGCCAAGTGGGTAAAGAAAAGAAAAGTTACTATTTTAATACATACATATAAATTATATTTTTACATATGTTTAGTAGTACTACGTAAGGGATTTTTTTTCTATAAGATTTATTTTATTTATGCATACAAGAACTGGGGTATAAGCCAGAGGTATGGGGTGGAGGATGAGAGGATTCACCAGACACAGAATGGGGAGCAGAAAAGGCATATTGACTGAAATACACTGCTGAGGGGAGCAGCGGGAGAGACAGAAGAGGTCTGCTGAGCCATGTAGGTATTTCCCTGTCCGGGGATCAAACTTGTGCTGCAGTGGCTGTGGACAGAATCTGTGATGAAACTCCCTTGTGCCACCAGGGAGGCACACGATGGAAAGGTTTTGTATACAGTTGTGGTTTCACAGCATAGAGAATGGAGAGACTGACTACTGGGAGAATAGGTGGAGAACTAAAATAGAGGTTTTGAAGAACCTGGGATAGATAGCAAAACAAATCATAAGGGCATAAGGGTAGGAGCCAATGTAATTGAAAGGGGAAAGAATTGTGGAGTTTGTTATTACTGAAAAGATTTGATTCCATTTTCTTAGTATACAATTAATCTAAGTGGTTCTCTAATTCCCTGTATAGAAAAAGTCCCCTTCCCCCACTTCCATCTTAATGTAAAAAAAGTTAGAGCTAACTCAATCTTCTCAAAACTCTCAATATTTCACAATAATGAGAAACCATATGCTGAAGGAGAAATATTAATAGAAGATGCTGTCTTTCAGATGCTCACTGAATCAATTGAAAACAGTTGACACATCTTTAGTAAGCTGTGTATGAATCTTAGCTCATTAACTACTCCTGTATTATGTATGCTGATTCCAATTCCTAATATGACACATCAATAAACCAGATCTGAAAAGGTGTCATTTCGATTTTAATGTATCCAATTGTATTTTTAGATGTTCCTCCACTTAGAAGTGTTTGTGTTATTTCCTGATTTTATGAGCTATGGAAGAGTAGGTGTGGTATTGATTTGAATGGGAAACTACTGTGTTCTTACAACCTTTTCAAAGATTTTATTCTGATTATGTTGTAAGAAAAATAAATTGCTCCTCTTTAATAATAGTTCAGCTTTCTAAGTCATTGTCCAGTTCCTTTCCAGTAGTTAAGTATAAATTAGCCACAAACATGTAAGTACAACTACCTAATTGTCCAATTCCTTGAGTATGTGTGAAAGTACAGAAAAGGAGAATATTTCTATAAAATATTCTTCATGTAATGTTTCCTATAAGCACATAGAGGAACCACCATATACTTTTAAAAAGATTCTGATGTACAACTGAACTGCTTGCCTATCAGATCATCAGTCTCTCAGTCTATCCAATGTATTAGTTTATAGTGAAATGTCAAATAACCACAGCAATTGTATTTTCACAAGTTAGTGCCAATTCAGTTCAAGTACTACAAGCTACGTTTTGAATACTCACACAACCAAATAGTATGCTTATTGCTAAAAATAAAGGTGAACCAGGCCCAGAATGGACCTAAGAAAAGTTAGGGAGTGGCACTCGTGGATTACTTTCTACTAGTTATGGTGACTCGTTACATACTATCTTGTTAAACCTATGAAACTACCCTTTTAGATATTATTCAAAGAAAGTGAGCAACTTATCCAAGACTACACAATTAATAAAAGTAAGTTGCAAAATTCAAACTAAGGGCAGCCCACTCTAATCCATGTTCATGTCATTCATTTGTATATTTGTTCTTTCTTCATTCATTCAACCTAATACATGCTATATTTTTGACATTGTTAATCTGCAAGGGGCCTTTCTACCCTTTTGACCAAAAGATTATATGTGCTGTCAGACTAAGATTTTACAACTGGTCTCTTTCTCTCAATCTCCTTCCACCGCCCCACCCCCCACCCACACTTTGTCTCTTTCTGTTGTAAATGTCTAATCTATATTGGCTTGGAAGTCTTCTAAGAATAATTATAATTTTGAAAGCTTGGATTGTGGGAGGCATTACATACAGCCCTTTGTGGTTTAAGGAGAAGTTTCCAAGTAGACTTTTACTAGGAAGACTGTGCCTACCCCACTTTAGTTAAATACCGTCTTCTGCAGAATATTTTCTTATTTTCTTTTGCAATAGAGTGTTTAAAAAAAAAACTGCCAGCTTCTAAGCTAAATTTTATCCCACTCTGTATGTATAAACCTAATAACAGGTGACTATGAATTGGAATTTTGGAAGCATATCATATTAGGAACTGGGTTTCACATTACTATCAAAGATCCATCCTCAAAGCCTTAGGTACTTAAGGACTTATTTTATTATGTCAAAGAAATCCAGAAACGAGCATTATGGTAACAGTCTACACTCCACAGATTCAGGGAGGCTCCTTCTATCTGTGTGTTCCAATCTGTATGACCTCAATCCTCAGTGTCGTGTCATGGTACAAGCATTCAACTATATTCTGAGAAACAGAGGAAGAAAGGCAAAAAGGCTGAAAAACTAAATCAGTTCCCTATACACAACCTCCCCAGAAGTTCCACATAACTCTGACTTAAGTCTTCTTGGCTGGTCTTGGAAATATGGCATTGCCAGCTGCCAACAAAGTTGGAAAACGGTCTTTTTTAGTTAAGAATATTTTCATCCCCCGACATTGGATCTGTCTTGTTAAGGAAGAAGAGAATGGATATTGTGGTTGTCTGCCTTACATGTTATTCTCTTATACAAGGTATTTTTTTTTCAGCAGTGGCTCCTGTAGAATAATCAGGAACTCCATGCTAAAAGTTAGAGATGAAACAGAGGAAGAAAATGTATCCACATTAGTGTAAACTCTTTAACAAAGTGTTTAAACAATTATACTTCTAGATGTTTAGGTCTAGTTAAAATTATGGTAAGATGAATTCTGTAGCATACCAAGTAACTCAACTCTTATTATGCCACCCACCTCCACAAAGGAGAAAAAGAAACAAAATGAAGAAAATCAATTTATGTGGCATGTAGTTTTGACAATTTTTCTATTTTTTTTAAATGTTTATGATTAAGTATTAGGCTTTCAATTTTTTTCGGCACTTTCTTATCTTATAGCAAAAACAAAATGTTTCAGGGAGAAAGAATAACATAAAAGTATCTTGAAAAATCTTACTCTTTCACAAAATCAAGCTATTGAATATTGGTAATGGACTCACACTCTGTGTCTTTGTGTATTTGCTTTCTGTTGTTACTGTAACAAGTTACCACCAACACATGGCTTAAAACATGAATTTCTTATCTTGCATTCCAGAGGTCAGAAATAGGAAATCAGTTCCTCTGGGTAAAAATCCAGGCTTTGGCAGACCTGTGTCTTCTAGAGACTATTTTTTCATCTTTCTTGATTTTTAGAATCTGTCTTTATTTCTTGGTTGATGGTCCTTCATCATATAGCCTTTTCTCCTACTTTCCTCTCTTTCCCTGCCCTGATCCTCCTGCTTCCCTCTGAACCATCCAGGATAAATTCTTTATCTCAGAATCTGTAGAGTTCCTTTTGCCATGGAAGGTAACATATTCACAGGTTCATAGACTAAGACAGCTTTTGGAAACTCATTATACACCCTACCTCATGTTGTAAATTAATAAAACATTTGTGAAAAGGCATTAAATACCTGATCTTAACAAGATTATTATATCACAGTCATACTGTTGCTACTATCATATTACCATGACTTAATTCAGAGTCAAAATAAACTGTTTTCACCATGTTTAGTACACCCTTTGAATGCTGATCAGGTAAATTGCTAAGTCTTAGTCCAAAAAATTCCTAAGAGAATTTGCTCATGTACCTATGAAATCTCATTCTTTTCTAACCTTCACTTTTAATTTTTTTTTTTTTAGAAAAGCAAGACAACAACACAAGAATTGAAACTGTAAAATCTCTTGTGCAAAAACTTCCTCCACCAAATCGTGACACCATGAAAGTTCTCTTTGGACATCTAACTAAGTAAGTTGTAAGGGGTGCTGTGTGTGTCTTCAAATACCCATTTCTCATGTGAGCAACCCTGAATTTCAAATTTCTAAGACAAGAGTTTCCAAATGCATCTACCTCATATTTTCCCCTTCATCTGATCTAAACCTTGCTGCAGACACTGGAGAGTACACTAGGAATATGAAGGATAACTCACAAAAGGAACTTTTAAAAGAATTAATTTTTCTGGCCTTTCAACAAGTAGATATTTGCTGATTGTCAAAACCATATCCAGAGTCCTAGGATGAGCCATCTTTACTTTGTTATCTACTACAGTGGGAAGAGCATAAAAAGATTCAGATATGATTCAAATGACTCCATGTATCAAGTGCTATGGCTACAAATAAGTTACTTAAACTCTCTGACATCCAATTTCCTCATCTGTAAAATGTTAATTCAGATTGATATGTTGCTATCCAAGCAATTAGTTAAAAAAAGAAAGTATTCCAGGCCAAAAAAAAAAAAAGTAAGTAAAAAAGCCCAGAGTTTCCAAAGAGCTTGGTGCCTTTGAATATCAGGTAGCAGGGCATGGTGAACAGAGACTGATGAACCAGGGAGATGGTGGTAAGAGCTAAGGCCACAGATGTTAAATGGGTGTCAGATCATATAGGTTCTTGTGGGTCATGACCAGAGATTTGGCTTCCATTTTAAATACAATGAATAATAATAGTGTTAAATTGACAGAGTATAAAAGATTCCTTTGGCTGCCATTTGGAAAATGGATTGCATAAGTAAAAGCAGGAATACCTCTTCGGAAGTGACCGTGATTAGTACAGGCAAGAGGTAATATTGGCTTGAGGAGAGCCCAGAAAGGGAACTGGGTAGAGATATTTTGGAAGAGGCTCAGGTTGGATTTGTTTGCTGCTGATTGAGATATAATGCAAATGATGAGGCTTTAGTTTTCACCATATACATATAGTAATGTTGAAGCCTGCTAGAGCTTCAAATGGCTGGGCAGCTTGGCTTTGGTGAGATTAAATCTCTTTAATCACCTTAATCACCCATTCCTTGGGTTGAGTCATTCCTACAGATTATTCAACTAATCCATTACATGATTTTAATTGTAAATGTAATACATGCAAATGCACACACATTCACACACACACACAATTTTAAGCAACAAATGGTGCATATAAAAAGTGGAGTTTGCCTACCAGTCCCTCTTAGCCTCCCAAACAGAAGTAACTAACATTCTTGTATGTATCTTTCCAGAACTGTTTCTAAGCACATTCAAATACATGTGTGTATAGCTATTTATTGTATTAAAGTATATCATACTGTGCATATTGTTCAGCAACTATTTTGCAACCCACGGACAGCCTTCCAGTCCATTCAACAGATTCATCTGATCCTTTCTAATGGTAACATAGTATTCCATGGTATGTGTACCATAATTAGCCTCACCAGTCATTACATTCATTAGAGAACATATTTTAATCTAATTCCTCATGTAAGTTTCTTGTTTACTCCCAGAGGGGAACCTTGTGTCCAAATTCAGAACATCAAGATTGCTAGATTATCCCTTCTTGTCTCCCCCACATACTGACTAAATGGGAAACCCACTATGGTTTACTGAAAGGATCTTGGGATTTACAGAAACAGAAAGATCTAGAGTCAATTCCTTGTTCTATCCTTTACCCCCTTATAATCTTAGGCACATAAAATCGGATTAAATAATATCAACCATTATCTTGTGGTTATGAGAATTAAATGAGATAATGCATATAAAATGTCTGGCACAAGGTAAGCATTCCTCAAGGTTAAATCTTTTCCCTTAAGATCCAGACACACCATGAAAGAGGGTTCAAGTTACAAGTAAATACTGCAGTGCTTATCTCAGTAACTTTAACTGGACAAAGTCATAAAACAAATGGAAAAGTATACTCTTTAATGCTATGTAATACCTAGTCTTGGAGATCTTGAAAAATATCCATTACTCAGTCTCAATTATTCCTTTTTATTCCAACTGAAAGAACAGCTATAAAATGAAGAAACTGAGAGTCAGCTAAAACTTTCTTTGGAAAAAAAAAAAAAGTAAGCCTCACAGTTGAGAATCTATCCATTAAAAACCTTCATATTTTGAGAATATTCCATCTTTCTACCACACAATACTAGCATGGAAAAATTCATGTGTTATTTTGTTTCCTATCCCTAAATTTTTAATGTTAGAACTTTCATTCAATTCTGTAGAGGTGGAAATAGATGTTTTAACTAAAACTTAATATCAGATTACTATATCACCCTCAGAGCACTCACATTATAAGATTTTTCATTATAGATGGAGGTAAAAGTGTTATTTTATAGTCACCAACCTTTCTTGAGTGGGGTGATCATATTCTACCCTGCACTGATTTATAAACTGGGTTTAATTGTTCACAAGTGTGTGGACATGATTATATCTTGTTAAGCATTTCTTGCTAAGTTTTTGATAAACAGCCAATCGTGGCATGTCATCAAAGCCCGAGAAGACTAAATAAGATTGTTTAACGAGAATTTAAATATATTCGTGTTTGAAAGAATCATTAGGATGTTTTCCTTAGTCTTGATGCATTTGGTACTTCTTCAAAAAAATCTACCATCAACACTTGCATACAGTGTTTATTCAAAATTGTTGCAAATATATATATTTTGAAGTTTGTTTAGTGAGGGTCAAGGAATGTAATGAAGTGCCAAAAATTCCACTTGACCTACAGACTGTACAGCCAACAGAAAAGAACTTCGTTTTTGCAGAGCTCTGAGTTAAACGTTCCCTTAAAAGCAGAGCAGCTACCTACTTGAGAAAGTTTAGTACAGTATAGTTGGACTTGAAGGTGAATACAAGTTCTATTTTTCAAAACCAGAATTTTTAAAGCTTACACAATAGCTACACAAGCTAAATAGTCTCAGGATTCTCATTCTTGATCAAATTCAGAAATTTAGAATAAACTATGATTTCAAGGTGTCATGAGCTAGAAACTTTTATTCGTAGTACTTTCACCAATTTACATTACAATGATAAGCATCGCAAGGTCCTGCAATAGCTTCTGAATCATCACATAAATGGCAAGTTCCATCTCTATAAAATATAAATGAAGTATCAAGTCATTTTCCTATAGCCTGCTTCTTTGCGAAGGCAGGGAGGCAATGCAAAGTTGGGAAGGAGGACATAGAAAAATAAGATTTACTTGCTGATGGTTAGTAATTAGGGGTTAAGATCCAGGCAAAAGACTGTATTAGATATAGAGAGCTACTGAAACTTTAGCCATCAGACAACTGTTTGAAATTCTCAGTGTTTATGAGTCATCTGACAACAGCATGTAGTGTGAATGAGAGAGAAGGAAAAATACCCAGACGGTCGCATGGGAGTTAGTTGGAGTGATGGACATCAAAGAGAATAAAAAAGTACAAATCTCGAGAATTTGTTCCCCAAACACATCCAAAATTTTTATTTTTCTCATTTCTTTATCCCTATATCCAGTCAGTCATACAGGTCATTGTTTTAGAGCTGTGTGGTTGTGAAAAAAAAATCCTTCTGACAGCAATTAAAAAAAAAAAAAGGTAAAAGAGCTATTGTTTTAAAGGATGCCCTTTTCTCTATTTTGCAAATACAAAGAAGGGAAAGAACATGAAATTATAAAAAAAAAATTAACGAAATAGACTGAATTCCATTTTGGAAGGTGTGTGTTCAATCAAGTCGATGTTGCTGGTTGGGAGGTACCGAACAGCCTATAGGAAATAAAACACGGTGCATTTTAGGAGTGATCGTCTTTCAAACCTTCATAACTTGCGAGCCAGCCATCATAACTGCTCATCCCATGTGATATGGTGGGGGCACTAGGCAGAGGCTATTGGTGTAATTAAAATTGCTTATGACAGGACCTCCCTGGTGGCCTAGGGATTAAGTCTCAGCGCTACAGCCTGAGTTCAATCCCAGCCAGGGAGCTAACCCAATGGTGCAGCAGACCTCTCCTGTCTCGCCTGCTGCTCCCCTCAGCAATGTGTTTCAGTAGATCCACCTGTTCTGCTCCTCACTCTGTCTCTGGTGAATCTTTTCACTCTACCCTCTCCTGCACCTCTGGCCTGTACCCCAGTACTTCTATATGCAAAAAATATTGCTTATCACAGCATTCTTTGCACTGATGGATACTAAGTGTCCAGTCAGAGGGGAAGGTCTATATCACCTTAGTGAAATGTAGTTCATACTTAATTTTATTTTTAATTTTGGGAAATGCTTCTGTTAAGTAAATAAAGTCAGCAATACAACATTTTATATAGCCAAAGAGAGTATAACTGTAAATATGTGGAAAAGTTGTACACCTGGAAAAGCCTGTACAGATACTGAAATATTACTACTTCTTTCTTAGAGTTGTTGAATTATAAGAGGGTTTTTCCCCTCAGGTTTTCCTTTCTCCCTTAACAAAAGTGTAGAATAAACAATGAGGTTAAGAGAATAGATTAAAATAATATGGATATTGGAGTTAAGCAGATCTGAAAGTGATTCTTGAATTTGCCACTTATTGTAGGGATAACTTTGAACAAATTATGTAAACTGCATTTCTGTTTACTTATCTATAAAGTGGAAATCATAATAGAATCTATTTCTGTGGCAATAAGTAACAAATTAAAGCATTAAAGGAGTAGTTCTCAGTTGCCTAGCACATATAGGACCTAGATATACTGACAAATTATTTTTATAATGAAGAATTATAAAGTAATTTCTAATGAAATAGATATAGAAAGAATTTTAGAAACTAGGTTGCAAAAATTTCTAGCTTCCAGAAAATTCTTCATATAGTCACAGAATCTTTTTCCAAAGCTAAGCTTCTACACTGACCTGACAATATCCCCCCAATTTCCTCTAACTCCCAATGAGGCTGTTTTCACATTTAACAAGTCATATGATACTCCCAGGCTGTGCCCAAGTCTCATGTGACTCCCCGGTCAGTCCAACACTATTCTCTCACAGACTCTACATCAACCTGGTCCACATTTCACCC